GAGAGTCTCCTGCCTCAGCCTTCTGAGTAGCTGGGATTAGAGGCATGTGCCACCACACCCGGCTAATTTTGTATTTTTAGTAGGGGTAGGGTTTCTCCATGTTGGTCAGGCTGGTCTCAAACTACTGACCTCAGGTGATCCACCTACCTTGGCCTCCCAAAGTGCTGAGATTACAGGCATGAGCCACCACACCTGGCCATCTACTCTTTTTTTTACTACGTTTTTACAGTGTTTTGAGTGTGGCATTAATATTATGTCTAACTTGATCCTATTTTGATGCCCTGATGGTAGCAGAAACAAGTGGTGGCTAACACTGGCATTGGATAATTGTATTCAAAGCTACGAAACTGGGAGCAAAGACCAGCCCCCCAAAGTGACCCCAGATACTAAGGCTGTATTTTTATACAGTAGCTTGTTTAGGGGGTTAGCTGCCCACTCCAGTTAAAAATTGTAGTTTAGGGTTGCAATGTACTGCTAGACAGGAAGTGGCTTAGGAACAAGGGACAGTAGAATTTGTCTATCAGAAAACTTGGCTTTCAGGATCTGGTACTTGCTACACTTAATTAGCAAATATGTCTCTTAATGTCAGCCGTGAAACACCATGTTGGAGGCTATGATCATTGCTCTTGTGGTCACTGAATGTGCTTAACTTAAACAGTAATACAGTGGTTTTTCAAAAAAATTTAAAGCACAAATCCCCAATGTTAAACTAATATCTGCATGTTATAAATAATATCTGCATTTCTCAGTTAAAGTGCAGTGGCGTGATCTCAGCTCACTGCAGCCTGTGCCTCCCAGGTTCAAGCAATTCTCCTGCCTCAGCCTCCTGAGTAGGTGGGATTATAGGCACCCACTACCATGCCCAACCCAGCTAATTTTTGTATTTTTAGTAGAGATGGGTTTCACTGTATTGGCCAGGCTGATAACGAACTCCTAACCTCGTGATCCACCCGCCATAGCTATCTTCCAAGGCTCAAGTTAGTTTTAGGAGCTTTTAATAATTTAATTATCATTTTAATTAGGACTAGTTCCAATGTCAAGTGTCTTAGATGCAGAGCTACCATTTGGCTTCACATATTTTCCCTTTCTGGCTGCTGAAGGGCGTCATTTTTTTTCCTAGGCGTATCAGGCTGAGTTCCCTTACATACACACACACACACACACACACATACACACACACACCCTCACACACGCACATGCACATGCACACGCAGACCCCCGTGCATTCTTGAGGAGCCCAAGGAAATAAGCATCTCTCCTCAGTAATTCCCATTTACGTCTGTGGTTTGGTAAAACCTGCAAGTACCCTTAGAGAGAGGAGGAAAAAAACCTGTATTTCAATCTCAGGTGGATTTCTCTCTTTGCTGTATAAGGACATACTCAGCAGCCAGGTTTTCAGTAAGACATCTCTACGAACCTTAACTATAGTCATTTATGGAGTTTTAATATTTCACTGTTAGTGTGATTCTGTTGGTAACTGACAGCTGACCAAGTCTCCATGGTTCACATTTTCAAAAGATCAAAAGTTAGACATAATATTAATGGCACACTCAAAACACTGTAAAAACATAGTAAAAAAAAGAGTAGATGGCCAGGTGTGGTGGCTCATGCCTGTAATCTCAGCACTTTGGGAGGCCAAGGTAGGCGGATCACCTGAGGTCGGTAGTTCGAGACCAACCTGACCAACATGAAGAAACCCCTCCCACCTTAGCTCATGCCAGGCTGTGGATTAGTTCTTTTCAAGTTGGTTGTTAACCCTAGTACCTTCAGCTAGTAGAAGGTCACATGGCACAAACCGTGCCATGGGTGGAGGTAAATTTTGTTAGGAGGACTATGAGCAGACTGGCAGTGATTAGTCCTTTAGAATAAAGTGTCATTAACACAAACAGTAAAGTCCGGAAGAAAAATTGGTTTTTAAGAGAAGATATTGGTACTTTAGGGCATATTAAATGTAAGGTGCTAGCAAGATATTCAGATGGAAATAATAGGTACATAGTCAAAACTGAAGATAAGATAAGGGGCTCTGTGGATCTCAGCTAGTCTCATGCTTACCTTGCCAGGGTGTGAAGAATAAAATTTCTCTTCTTTAAGCAAATACCTTTTTATTTTTGAGACAGGCTCTCTGTTGCCCAGTCTGAAGTGCAATGGTGTGATTATACCTCACTGCAACCTCAAACTCTTGGACTCAAGTAGTCCTCCCACCTCAGTCTCCTGAGTAGCTGAGACTGCAAGTGCATGCCACTATGCCTAGCTTATTATTGTGTGTAAAGAAGAGGCCTCTCTGTGTTGCCCAGGCTGGTAAGCAGCAGGACTGGAACATACAAGCCTAAGTTCTCTGAACCTAGTGGATTTTAGACCACATCTCAGTGGAAAGTAATATTAATTTGGCATATCACCCAATTAAAAGAATAAAATCAGCTATCCAAATTTCAGATTATTTTTATGAGGCTGATGTAGGCCATCAAAAAATAGCTCCATCTGTGATAACTGTATTTAGCTTTTCTTCCTCAGGATAAACTACAAAAGTATTACCTTTGTGTAAGTTTCTTCCATGGTACAATTTCAGTTTACAGAAGATTTTACTCCCTTTTCACTAAAGTTTCAAATAATATAATAGTGAAGCAGATATATGAAGAATATACCCAGAGCCAGAGTTAAAACATCTGAGTTTTTGATAACCTGTGCTTGTGAATTCTTGCTTCCACCTACAGCTTTAAAACGTTGTTGCTTACTCTCACCAAGACCTCACCTTCCCTGGTAAAAACCTCATGTAACTGCTGCTGGGAACACAGTTGTGAGGTGGAACTCAGAACTTATTTTCCCCCAAGAGGTAGTAGTTTGTTACTAATAATATTAATTCAGCCATATTATTGACTTTTACAGGTCAGTTTAAGAATTTACACACGACTGAGAAGTTAGGCACCATATGTGAAGCTACTCCTGTGAGAAAATCTGTTCTAAGTCCCAGACTTAACTGAAGAATTTTTCAGCACAGCTCAGATATAAGGCTTCTATGCACATTTAAAAGTGAGTAGGTAGAAGCCAAAGAATAACATACTGATATGGTTAGGCTTTGTGTCCCCACCCAAATCTCATCTTCAATTGTAATCCTCAGGTGCTGGAGGAGAGACCTGGGGGGAGGTAATTGGACCATGGGAGCAGTTTCCCCCATGCTGTTCTCGTGATAGTGAGTGAGTTCTCATGAAATCTGATGGTTTTATAAGTGTCTGACAGTTCCTCCTACACACATACTCTGTTGCCTGCCATCATATAAGACTTGCCTGCTTCCCCTTCTGCCATGATTGTAAGTTTCCTTAGGCCTCCTCAGCCATGCAGAAGTGTAAGTCAATTAAAACTCTTTTCTTTATAAATTACCCAGTCTTGGGCAGTTGTGTATAGTGGTGTGAGAACGGACAGATACATATATATTAACAATATATATGAGCTGTTTCACTCTTCTTTCCTTTATAATTCATATTTTTTCAAACATAAAAGATGGGCTAGAATTTAGCCAGTTTGAGGGAAATTAGCATGCATAAAGAAGTTTTCACACTATAATGGAAAACGCTCAAATGGAGGAGTGATGTAAAAGAAGAATTGGTATTCTGGTGCCAGTGAGTGAACACAGAAAGCAGAGTCTTTCCTCTGCACCTAAGTAAGCAGACTTTCTACTGTCACCTTCAGGGCTTACTCGCTGCTTCTGCCTAAATTTATAATGAGGAACAGGAGATCATCTTCTATTTTGGATTATCTCCTTTGATCCTCTTTTATTGTCAAACCATTAAGAAGTGAATTTTCAATTGTAACAAGTTGCCATTTGCACACTTATGTTTAAGATGTATGTAACCATTTGTGTAATACATGTTTTCCTACTTTACAAATAAAAGCTAGATTATCTTTAAAGGTTTTCTCTCATTTATTCAGTTAAAAGATTGTGCCCTCATTTGGCTTCCCTAATCCTTTAAAATGGTTAATATGAAATTCTGTAACTGAACTATCAGTTAATGTTTACATGAAGTGACTGTTTAAAAAAACGTTCTGGCCGGGCGTGGTTGTGACTGTTTAAAAAAACGTTCTGACCGGGTGTGGTTGCTCACGCCTGTAATCCCAGCACTTTGGGAGGCCAAGGCGGGTGGATCACCTGAGTTGAGGAGTTCAAGACCAGACTGACCACCATGACAAAACCCCGTCTCTACTAGAAATACAAAAATTAGATGGGCGTGGTGTTGGGTGCCTGTAGTTACAGCTACTCAGGAGGCTGAGACAGGAGAATCGCTTGAACCCAGGAGGCAGAGGTTTCAGTGAGCCGAGATCACACCACTGCAGTCCTGCCTGGATGACAGAGCAAGACTCCATCTCAAAAAAAANCACCACTGCAGTCCTGCCTGGATGACAGAGCAAGACTCCATCTCAAAAAAAAAAAAAAAAAAAAACCTTCTAATGATTATAAATAAATGTGACATATTAATAAATTAAATATATGTTTAAACCACATCAGTAGTGATAGGTTCTTTAAAAGCTGTTAATGGCATGGCAAGGATATTTAAAACTGTATTTTGGCTTTGAACTGAAAAAGTTGAAAATATCTCTGACTTTATTTATTTATCTAAGACCTAATTTCTGAGTTTTTCTTCTTGGCTTTGTATGTTTTCCTAAGATGACTTCGAGTTAGAACCAGAGTCTGTCTGGACACCACTGAACTTTTTTTTAGTTGGGGGAAGAGGGCCTCACTATGTTGCCCACTGATTTTAAACTTGAAGCTGCTTTTCGAGAGACTACTGTAAAACTATATCTAATGAAAAATATCTTAGGCTGGGTGTGGTGGCTCACATCTGTAATTCCAGCACTTTGGGAGGCCAAAGTGGGCCTGATCACCTGAGGTCAGGAGTTTGAAACCTGCCTGGCCAACATGGGTAAAACCCCATCTCTACTAAAAATGCAAAATTAGCCAGGCATGGTGGCATGCACCTGTAGTCACATCTACCCGAGAGGCTGAGGCAGGAGAATTGCAGGAACCTGGGAGGCAGAGGTCACAATGAGCTGAGATCATGCCACTAAGCTCTAGCCTGGGCTACAGAGGCGAGATTCCATCTCAAAAAAAAAAAAAAAAAAGAAAGAAAAATATCTTACAGTGATATCCTAACAAGGAACACTATCATGTGTATCTTTCTCAGTTTTCAGCATAATGTTACTCTTACATTTATTCTGTGTCAAACGTGCTAAATGCCCTGTGTACATTACCTCTTTCTCACGATGTTCCTGATTATGCAACTGAGGGAATTGTGTAATCAGAAACATGAGGGAATAAGAATCTGTTAAAAAAAAAATGGCCAGCAACTTGATATTAATAAAATATTGGGCACGTTTGGAAAAGTGGTAGATAAGGAAGCAAAATAGGTAGAATGGATCCAGATCCCACTTATCAGATGTTAACTATGGCTCAGAAGAGTTAAGTTGCCTCAAATATTGAAAATAGGATTTGAATCCAGGAGTATCTAATCCAGTGCTCAGGCTCTTAATTTCTACATTATTCTGCCTTCACATAATACACATGTAATTATTTTATAAACTCATAAACTCCTTTTACTGAAATAAACACCATTTTCATGTAAAATGGAGTTTGATGGTAACAATACCATTCTAGGAATATTCCTATGTTAACCATAAAATTCCCAATACTTTATTGTAATATAGCGTTTTCTTTTTTTTTTTTTCCTCTTTCTTTTTGTTTTTTTGAGTTGAAGTCTCACCCTGTCACCCAGGCTAGAGTGCAGTGGCTTGATCTCAGCTCACTGCAACGTCTACCTCCTGGTTTCAAGTAGTTCTTCTGCCTCAGACTCCCAAGTAGCTGGGATTACAGGTGCCCACCACCACACCCGGCTAATTTTTGTGTTTTTAGTAGAGACGGAGTTTCACCTGGTGGCCAGGCAGGTCTCAAACTTCTGACCTCAAGTACCACTTGCCTCAGCCTCCCAAAGTGCTGGGATTATAGGCGTGAACCACTGCTCCCAGCCTAATGTAGCTTTTTCTGATGAACTCAAATGGGTCTATGATAGACTAATTGTAAAATACAAACCAAAAAGGAAGAAAGCAAAATTGCTTTTGAAATACTTTTTCTGTACATTAAAATAATATATATAATATCCTTTTTCACATATGTTATAAACCTATTTTCATGTCACAACACACTCTACTGTAATATATTTAACCATCCTTGCATTATTAAACCATACTATAATAAGCATATGTCTTTTGTAGAGTTTTCCTTCCCTCTTTCATATGTAGAAATTTTGAGTAACATGATAAACAACTTATTTTGTTTTTCAGGAGATGATTTTTCTTTGATTCAACAAGAAATATTTATGGTTAAAGAATGTAAACATTGTAACATCGTTGCCTACTTTGGGAGTTATCTTAGGTAAGAGAAAAAAAAATCCCTCTCTGTATTTTATGTACTCTTTGCTACTATACTGTCTCCCTTCCATGTAAGTGCTATTATATATGTATGTTTTTAAACACTGTTCAAAGTTCTAAATTGTCTAGGGTCTTCCCCTATTATATATTAATAATGACATTCCCATTTTTATAGTTATAGCTTATCTGGCAACTTAAATGAAACATTATAAGTGATTACAAGTAAGAATTTTAACTTATAAAACTGATCATATTCTAAACCACTTGAGATGGGAACAAAGCTGAAATTAATATGCTTTTCTGTATATTGAGGTGACAATGCATGGCAATTTCCTGTTGCACTTTGCAGTCCATCCTGAACCTTGGTTTGCTAAAGAGTGAGAGCCTTAGAGTATTTCAGTGATAGAGAATTACTAGCTAATATAATTTTCTTTCTTTTTTATATTAGTCGGGAAAAACTATGGATTTGTATGGAATACTGTGGTGGCGGATCACTTCAAGATATTTACCATGGTATGTTAATTTGACTTTACATTTTAAACAGACTTTGATTTTAATGATCGTTGTTTGGTATTTCCAGTTAACCACGGAAATTAACAGATTTACTATTTTTGCATTCTTTTGTTCCCGGAGCACTGCATAACAGAAATCTGTATTTATTTTTTAATTGATTAGTCAGTTAAACTTGCCTGAGCCTGAACTGAGAAGTGAAAAAGTATTTGTATAATCCAGATTTCACTCTTTAGATGTAATCTCTAAGAAAGTGTTTTATCTACAAATGAAACTTCCTAGATTTCCTTGTAAATAAAAATTGAAATGCAAAGGATAACTCACAGAAAGGAAGTTTATGTCTATGTTAATAACTTAACCTGCTAACCAGCAAAGCAATTTACTTGTTAATGTAATATTTTTGTATTAGTATATATTAGTTTCAAGTATTTTATTTACTAT